TTATTTAATATTGTTTAAATATTGCCATTTAATGAGTATTAATTAAAACCCTAAAGATAAAACAAAAATCGTCATTTTTTTTTTTTTTTTTTTTTTTTTTTTTTTTTTTTTTTTTTTTTTTTTTTTTTTTTNTAATAACACTCTCATAGAATCCGAAATTGCATGCTATCAAAATAAAAACAAAATAAAAAAATTTAAAAAAAATATTATTATAAATCAAACAACACATACGTATAGAGAAAAGGCCACCTGCTTACGAATGAAATATATTTTAAAACATTCTCCTCTATGCAAATTTGTCTGAGGAACGATACGATACGATTATTTTACGAATGCCTTCTTCAAAACAAAATTTCATTTTGAAACACTTAGTATTATTGTTTAAATATTTCTGTTTGATTCTTAATAGTTAAAGCCTGTAAAGTTGAAACAAAAATTTTTATAAATATTTTAACAGTTTAATCAATGATTTTTAAGGCATCATATTTAGGGTAATACTTAAAAATGTAAGGTTTTAAGTTAAAGGTTATTTTACGTTCTACCTAATTTAATTTTCATAAAGTGCAGTATCCTTTAATGTAATGATGAGTTTTGTTCATCATTAAATCGTAATCGTTCCTTAAAAACAGCTTTTTAGATTTAAAATAAAATTAAAGAGCAATGTTGTAATCATTATTTATTTACATTTTATTTATCTACTAAATTTTTAATTATGTATTCAATTTTTAATTATTTTCATAATTCTTATTTATTTACTTAATTAATTTTTATATTTTTTTATTTACACCTAAGAAAATTCTGAGTAGGTTAAAAAATTAAATCTAAGGTCCTCTTTCCATAAACAACGGACAGTTGATTTCTCTGAAAAAGGGGTTTGTAATCATACTACATAATCAAAAGTATTAATAAGTATTATGTTACTAATGGAAGACTTTTCAAGATATTACAATCAGTGAGCAGTTTCAAGATGCACAACCGTTATATTAAAAAAAAAAAATATTCTAATGCCCAGAAAGCATGTAACCTTACGACAACGTTGTGTTTTAACTTTATTTTCATTGTCACGAAAAGGTTTGCAGTAAAAACCTTTTTTCAATAAAGCAAANTTCGATACAAAATGACCTATATTGTATGCATGACCTAATATTTTTAACTTTTACTCTGTAATATTTGTGAAAAAGTCCTGAAATCTATAACTTTGATTAGTCAATCCTTAAAAATCCTTGTAGGGTTAAAAAAAAAAAAAATAATGTATTGTCTTAATTTTGCAAGAAATGTCTTTCGAATCCAGAATAGGCCTTTCTTCTTCCTAAAAAACTCAATCGTCAAAAGGGAGGGAAAACATTATTTATTATATTTTGTTCCTATTTATTTAATTTTCCCAAACAAATTGATACTTACTCTATTCGGCAGCATCTTTCGAAACATGTTAAATGCATGGTCAGCATCCGCTTAAAATTTTAACACTTAAAAAAAAAAAAAAAATGATCGGTATTTCACAATTCATCACCTAGTTCCAGCAATGGTATTAGTGAAATAAAAACTATCGAACAAAATTCAATCCCTGGCCATTTTTTTTTCAATACTTCTAAAAAATGTATAAATACTTAACAAACAGCTAATAATTAAAAAATATGTGAACGCCAATCAAATGAATTACGTAAATTTTATTCTAAAAGAGATAAAAGATAATCAATAATTATTTATTAATTGTTTTAGAAAAATATGTTTATTTCTCTCGAATTCATTTGATAAGCTCGCGCGTATCTTGATGTCAAAGGAACAAAAAAATTGAATAAATAAAATAAAGTTTGAAAAAAATGAGAGAAAAATGCTGCCAGATATAAATCCTAGCATTTATATTTTAAAAAATTTTAAAAATACTCAAGAAAAACTGCTTCTAATTTCAACTATCATGGATGGTTGACAGAATGTAAACAATAACAAGCTTTCTAAAACCGGAAAAAAGTTAGAAAACTTCCGGTGTAATCATCCGCTTATGTTACGCTTACGATACGAGGTGATGTGTGAACAGGCTTAATATTCTAAGAAGTTTTGTTAACGTGAATTATGTTTAAATTTACGCTTAATTTTACCATTTATAAGAGTTTCCTATAACTTATAAATTCTAACTGGTTGCTAAACAAATTAAAGATAATTAATATCACAACATAAATAAAGTGTAAGGTTTGCCATGTTTTGAGTGTTATCCCTCATTTGGCTATATTTGTGTAAAATATGATCGTTAGTTTTCTTTCTTTCTTTTTTTTTTGTTGTTGCATCTTACAGGGCATANATGAGATATTAACTTTCCAAAATTTTTTTTGGCCTTACGACCTCTGAGAATCAATACATTACTGAAAGCTCTTATGAATGGTACAATTATGTTTAGATTTGAACCAAATTACAATAACAAAACTGCATAGAATATTAGGCTTGTTCACACATCGCCACGTAGTCATAACATAAGCGGAGGGATACACCGGAAATTTTCTAAATTTCATCCGGTTTAAGGACGCTTGTTATTGTTTACATTAGACCACCCATCCATAACTTATAAATTCTAACTGGTTGCTAAACAAATTGAAGATAATTAATATCACAACATAAGTAAAGTGTAAGCTTTGCCATGTTTTGAGTGTTATCCCTCATTTGGCTATACTTGTGTAAAATATGATCGTTAGTTTTCTTTCTTTCTTTTTTTTTTGTTGTTGCATCTTACAGGGCATAGCATAGTTGCGGAGTCTTCCAAATTAGTATGCTACTTATTTCGTTGAAATTTAAACTGAAAGTACGCGTTATATTGTAAATACTACAAGTATAATAATATTTCATGGTGCCTTTTTACAAGCATATGCGTAAAAATCAATCGCAAGTAGTAACCCAGAAGTCTTACGACGAATTTTAACCCCAAGCTCCATCTGTGCTTAGCTTTAAAGGTCAACCATCCTTACATATGGATCCTTTTTTCAGCTACAAATGTAAACAGCAACAATTTCGATCTCGTAACCTGCTCTACCTCCGGTAAGAAAGTATACAGCTACTTTTTGGAGCTTATTCTGCTAGGCGAGATATTTTCAAACAGATAATATTTTTTTTAATAGAAGAAAAAAGTTACGTAATTTTTTACCTCAAATCTGCTGTATTTCATAAGATATTAATGATATTCAGTAATTCCAGTGAGTTTGAAGTGAAAATTTGTTTTAGTTATTTAACGATGCATTGTTAAAAAGGATGACATGGTTGCTAGATGTAGAAAGAACTCGCTTTTTTGGCAGTTCTGATTTGGCCTCTTTTTACTTGTTTATTATTGTTTGTTCTTGGTGCAAGCCGTGCACCATCATACATTAGTGTTATCATGTTGTTCGAACTCGAGCAACGAAATTATGTTTATTCTACAAATTATCATTTAGGTTTAAATTTTGAAGATGGTATATTGTAAATAAAGTGATAAGCGTTTTATAACGATTTTTTTTTTTCAAATGATATTTCTTACGTCTTGAAATGTCAGGTCTTCAAATGACGATTCTCATAGTGATTCTTTTTTTAAATACAAGTGACAAATCAGGTAACAAATACACATATACAAGAAATACTACCCAAGAAAGTCTCAAAACACAATGATCACGTTGCTGGCCAAATGGCTTCGAAACACAACAAAAGCAATAACCCGAAAGTATAGACAAAAAAGAGTTAGCAGCACTCCCTCGTGCAGAAAACATCATCCATTGTTAACACGTAAAATCACTTTTCATTTTTTTATTGTCTCACATATTGTGTATTCCTAAATTTAAACCTTCTTTTTTTCATATTTTACGTATTCAAGTTGCTGTTGTTGTAGTTCATTTACGTCGCACTAGAGCTGGACAATGGGCTATTGGTGACGGTCTGGGAAGCAACCCCGAGGATGATCCGAAGACATGCCATCACAATTTTGATCCTCTGCAGAAGGAATGGCACCCCCTCTTCGATAGCCCGATGAGCTGCACCCAAAGTCTAGCACTTTACGGTAGAACAGTTTGTGGGTTTAACTCCCAAAGCAGAGTACGCTAAAATTGATGAAAACACAAGTAAACTGGAGAATACATTTATTAATACTGTAAATGTTTAACTTAAATCAAAAAATCGTAATGTCGAACAAATATATAAAGAATCATCATCATCAATCTTAATCCTAAGACGGATATCAGGCCATCGGCCAAAGACTCAAAAGAAGGGCGGGCTGTTCATACATTATGAAAAGAATTGTTCGTTCTTGTATAGAACACGATGTCTTACGTCACATTGATTAACTGATTATTACTTGACTTCCCTTCACTTCCATCCTGGAGACGAATCTGCAAAAGACTAAAGTTTATAACTTGAAATTACTTATTTCCACACAGTTTAACGAGGACCAATACCGCACACCCTCTGTCCTTACGCAGACTAATCCAAGTGGTCCCCCACCCGCACACTGACAGCAGCCAGTGATGCTTGACTTCGGTGATCTACTGGGAATCGTGTCTTAACGATCAGTCCACTGTCCCAGATAGCAATATAAGTTTTGTTTCACCCAACAAAAACCTTTTCATGTAAACCTAAAAAGGGTTTTTATACGGTTTACATGTAAACCCTCTAACCTTAAAACGAGGTCTGCGACAATCTGCTCTATTCTNTATTAACAAAATGTTCTTACACAAAATTATAATAATTTTATATTTTAATAACAAAATTACAAATATTTTTTTTTTTAAAAAATATTTACTTTTAAGAGAAAAAACTAAAACAATGCGAAGCAATCACGGGGTTGGCAAGCGGATCGAGCAGGGCCTACTATTTTAAATGAAATGCTTATTATATTTTAATTCAATTGCAAACGCATATACTGGGTTGCTATCTGAATTCTTGTTTAAGTGTGTAGTCGGTGTGTAGTTCTTGTGTTTATAAGTTCTGCATTTAATGCACGCCAGTCTCTCGTGTAATAAACCAACACGGCTGAACTTGGTCGTAGCGGTTTGTTAAGTTTCGGATCCAGTTCAGCCTTGAACAAACCAACTATTCGGTTATAATTTACACCGCAGCGCTGCGCTAGGGAAAATTGGAGTTTATATAATAACTTTGGCAACATGTTTTTGTGTTTCTATATTTCATAATACAATCTTCTCTGTTACTTAATAATAGCAAAATAGAAAAGTTGGTGTTCCTTTTAACTAAATTTTAACTGTCGACATCAAAATATGGAAGCTCTATATAAAACCGCAGAAAAGTTTAAATTGCCTAATGCTGGAAAAGACATGGTATGAAATAACTTGTATAATTAAAAGTTAATGTAATTTGGTTACGTTTCTGTTGATGGTCCAAACTGCGCATGCGCTGTTAACCGCGCAAAGTTGTAATTTTACTTCTATTAATGTAATGTTATATATATTGTTCTATTTCAATTATATTACATAATTTATTAAAATTCAATGGCTGACGCTACACTAGAAAAGGTAAGCTATCGTTATTGAAATGCTCCGGTTAACGATGACTTCTCCTGTGTAGTTTCTTTATTGCATTTTCAAATGTGCAATTAAGCCTATTTAAATTACGGATTTATTGTACACGCTCTTTTGTTTTCGTTAAATTACATTCGTTAAATGTTAAAATCTTGCTTAATTATTTTTTTGTACCCCTGATAAAAATGTTGCTAAATAATTTTAACCTTTTTATTGCTAAATTATTTCAATAACATGTTGCCGGTTTCATATTAATTTATAAAAAATAAAACAGTATATATGCGTTATAATTGTTCAATAATGCTTAAGATTTATTGTGCTTTAATGATTAATACGCATGATTTAATGTATTGATTATAAAAAATTGAGTTTAGAAAAGATGCCCGTAAGACTAAAATTTCCGTAGAAAATCAATGTTTTGGATTAAGAACAATAGTTGTATAAAACTTTGTTTTATAAATAATGTTAGAGATTGAACTCTCATAATTTCAATTTTTCTTTTAAAATCTCTTTATGGATTGTAAGATTTTTTTCCGTTAATATCCGTAAATTTTCAATATTATTTAATTTCGTTAATTGCTGGATAGATCTCTGGGAAACTGAAGACTTCTTTGAATTTATATTAAATTATAAATTGACTTGTTTTAAATATCTAATCTATTAGTTTTGACTTCATGTTTTATTATTTAAATGGGTCTAAAACTGTACTAAAATGCTCAAAACTGTATTACTAAATGTGTAATACAATTTTGAAATACTAATTTCTGTGAAAAGTTAGCTATTAATACAAAAATATTTTTATAATTCAAGATACCGAAGCAATATTTTTTTATACTACGTATGTCAATAACTGCAATATCAGATATTAATCAGGGTTGGCAATGTTTAGGAGAGAATGGATTAATTCAATGTTTAAAACCCTCCTGTCTAAAACCCCTTTGTCTAAAACTGTTATTACTCAAATTAAGTCACAATTTTATCCAAACAATATTTGAAAGGTAAAATAAGCATAGAACTAATAACATATAGATAATTAAATCTTCTAGAGAATATTTGGTCTTAAAAGTCTAATGTTTTATTAATATTGTTTGACTCTTCAATTTAAACATTAAACAAAGGAAGATTAATCAGTAATCAAGTTCAATTGGTCCTCTTAATATTCGATAGCACGTAACTAATTTAGCTGCTGTATTCACACCAAGACGGTTTCAAAGTTTTGAGGGAATTACTCCAAAATTTGAAAACATCCTTTCAATTGACGCTGAGCTTGCTGGGCAGGAGAGTAGAAGAGTGATGAATTTAAAAATGTCTTTTTAATCTTCCCCAAATGATATTAATTTTCATTAGCCGTCCTCCATGTCACTGTTTTAATGGTACTCCCAGCCTCTGTTGAAGTAAGTTTTCTGAAATGGTGTCGCTTCAACTTCATAGGCAATCAAAAGAGAAATGCACTCAGGAAATTCGTTAGTTAAATATGACCAAGCACTTTCTTTATGCACTTCTTTTAGCATAGTGGTGATACATCACCAGTGACAGTAACTGAAACTGTTGTTATGCCCTTCGAAACTGTTAATACATTTTTTAGTTATTTTATATTTAATTTTTTTTAAACAGATGTCTTTTTTAACCTCCTGTGATGCAGAAATTATAACTTTTTTTAAAAAAAATATTGCGAAAAATAAAAGTTTAATTTTTAAGCAAATTTATTATTATTATTTTTTTAAATTATTGTTATTTTCAATATTGCATTATTTATCCTTATACAGAAACCTAATTTATCTGTATTAAAAGCATATTTATATTTAAAGGATAAGGTGTTCACTTTTGTTGTTCAATAAATTGTGGAGCTTTAAAAATTATAAACCTTTTCCAATTATATTATATTATTTTCCCTTAATAAGTTAAAGTAAATTGTATAAAAAATGTCAAATATTTATTGATATATGTAATTATTATGTGTAACAATGGTTACACATATAGAATTTTTACCTTTTACCAAAGTTCAATGTTTTGGACACTTTAAAACAGTTTTAGTCAGTTAAAGACAGTAAAACCTGTTTCCTGTCCAAAACCAGTTTAGGGTGTCCAAAACCCCAATCCTGATATTAATATTCAAATATTTTTTGCTATTGGATAAAGATTTTTTTTTTTTTACAGGTTAATGAATATAAAGAAAAAGTAAAATCTCAAGTAAGTTATCTTTACTTTCTGTAAAAAATATTTCTCTTAATTTTATAAATACATTTTTCAATTGAAAAGAAATGTTGATTTAGTAGATATGTTTCCACCTCAATCTTGCATTAACTTCACATGGCCGTGCATTATGTGATAATATGCTATATAATTTAGTTTATTGTATCTGGGTTACTGGTGCTGAACAAAAACCTTCCAATTTTCATCCATGTATTTGTTCTAATATTCATATTTTAGTTACAATATTTAATGTTAAATATTTAAATACATAATCAGGAATCTGTCCAGGCCGAATTTACTACCGTTTAGTGGTACCTTCACAAATTCAATTTTAGTTAAAACGGTAGTTTCACAAAATACTGTTTCTTAAAATTTTATTTTTGTATCCCTTAAGAATCGATAAGTCTATATTTTTACCATGTTTTTGTGTTGACTTTTTAATAATTTTTAATTTTTCACAAATTATGTCAAAATTTTCACAAGATAGGTACCTTTCAGAAAAACCTAGACAGACCACTGATAATGCAGTTCAAAGGTTCTAACTATCACAGTTTACCAAGATATAATAGTCAAAAATATGTTTAATCGAGGAATAAAAATTAACTTTTGAAAATTTACGTGATAATCTGTTTAATATTGTTTTTCTCTATAACTACCCTGAGTTTTTAATTTTTTTTTTTTTGCAAATATTCTATGATAACTTTTTCCATACTCAAATCATTCTTAAAAAAGATGAAAAATAAATTTTAAAGAAAAACCTAATATTTCCTTATTTTCAATGAGAAATTATCTTTCCTTCTTTTGATAATTCTTTATTATTCTGTTCATATAAAAAATGAAAAAAAAATTTAGATCTGAATTGCTATGAGCAAAGATTTTTAGTCGTTTAATGCTACAAAAGCTATTTCTAATTTATCTAAAAACTAGAATATTGATTTCAAGTAATCAATGAAGCATAAAGTTTTCATGGTATGAAATTTTTAATTTAGTGCATCTAAGTTTTTGTTTATATATGTAATAGTAAGTGTGTATATTTTTATTAATATTATAAACCTAAATAAAGTTAGTAGTATCTGAACCTTAAAGTTGCACTAATCTGAATAACGCAAACTGTTAATAATTCTTTGTTTTTGTATTTCTGATGACTAATAGCAGTAAGAAAAGTCGGCAACTCTGTGCAGTTTAACATAAAGCAAAAATATCTTGAAAAGAAATCTTTGTTATTACATAAATTTTATCTTTTTAGTGGTCTTCTTATAAATTAGTTGATACTTTTGATTTGTGTATGCAGATAATTTTGTAATTTTTTTTTTATCTTCTGCTACAAAAAATTAATTCAGTTGCAAATGTAAATTTTAAGTCTTTTTTTTTTTTCCTGAATTTTTTTATTGTACAATCTTCAGTCAAATTTCTATTAGAATATTTTCTACATCAGAAAATGAAACTGATTTACAAATTCAGAAAAACAATTCTAGCAGAAAACAACAAAAATTATTAAAATTTTAAGATATGTGTGTTAGCAAGATAGCACTACATCAGGGCAGGTTAGCAGGTAGTGTGTCCCCTGATGAAGTGCTGTCCTGCTAGAATTGTTTTTTTGACTTAATAAAATATTTTCTATAATAATATTGTCATTTTAACTAGCTATTAAACTAGGTAGATGGTACTTCAAATATTTTTGAAGAGAAAAAATTTATTCAGGTTCAATTTGAAATTTTCTTTAAATAGTTAATTACACAAATCAAAACTTTGTTTATTGTACTTATTGCACACAAATAATACATAACTCTTTCTTTACCTTATTTAGTTTTATGATTTTCCTAAATAATACTAAAATTTGTCAACAATTCAGTATAATAAAATTTTCTGATAATATTATAATTGCTAATCACTAAGAAAGTAATATATTTAAGTAATTTTTAAAGTGTTAATGTGTATTTATAATGGTTTGAAAGTTTCAATATTTCAGTATGTTGAGTTAAAACAGAATATGAGAATTTTTTCTAAGGTATGATAAAACTAAGAACTAGAAAATTTACTATGTTGCCATTTGAGGTAAATTTATTGGTGGTCAATTTTTTCTAACCATTGGTCACTTAATAGGGATTTTGTTCCTGAATTGTTATAAAAAAATATATCTTTTCTTTGCTAATGTTGGTAATTTTTTTGATGACCACTTAATTTTATTTATTTGCCAACTGACGACCATTTATTTTTGTTTTTATAAGGTGTTCACTTATTTTGAAATCTTAGGAACAGTCTTGATTTTATAATTGTTCTATAAAACTTAGTTATTTGAGGACAAATAATGTCTTCAAATCTAAATAAAGGTCCTCAAATATGCTCAAATTTCTCCAAAAAAAAAAAAAAAAAAAAAAAAAAAAAAAAAAAAAAAAAANAAAAAAAAACAACTTTTTTTTATATGTAAGTATCCATTATTGCAATTCGTATTCACACATTTGTAATATCAAACATAAATTTTTGAGTTTTTATAAGTGATCTATATATTATGCACAGTGATTTGCGATTCAATATCGCAATTTGTTCTCAAAATCCAATATTGCGATTCTCGTAAGGAGTAGTAAGTTTTTTCTTTAATTAGTTACTCTGAAGATATGATACATTTTGCATTAGTAGGTAATTTAATTATAAATGCAAAAAAATTATTTTATGTATGAAGTCTATAAATTGATTTTTCGCACATAAAAATTTTCAGAGTTTTTCACTTTGTGCCCCAATCACCCCTGTGTAAGAACAAAGTACTAAAACACATTTCTGAATTGTTTTTATAATATAGCATGTTAGTGAATATTTCATGAATGAAAGGAAACAAATTTCTCTGAAATAAATATACTGTGATAATATTTATGTGGTTATTAAATATTTTTTTAGGCAGAAAACTTAGTCATCAATGTATTTCCTCAAAAAATTTTAGAACTTGAAGCAATTTTACAGGTAAATAGAAAAAATATATATTTCTTAATATAAATTTTAACTGGTAAGTTTTATTATTGACCATCTATTGATTTTTATTATTGACCTGTAACTCTCAGGGTAGATAGTGGAAATTTAAAATTCTTGTTTTATATTGTAAAATTTAAAGTTGATTTTAATCTGTTAAGGATTTATATTAGCATTTTGATAAGTAGCATTAAAGTGTTTTAGAATAGTATAAAAGAATTCTTAAAGGGTACATGAAGTATCGCAAGTTTTTGTTTGTAAAATTCCATTAGTTGAATATTTTTTTAATCACAATTTAAAGTTATTTATTAGATTTTTTAAATGTATTGTGTTATGCAAAGGCTTCTTAAAGGATTGTAATTAATATTCTTTCAGAAATTCTGTGGTTTCTATAAAGCTTTTGAGATAAAATAAATCAATTTCCTTATTTAGAATTTTATCAATTATGTAATTCATCTTTCTTACAGATATTCATTTAACACAAATGAAAAATTTTCACTCTTATTACTTGGAGATGACTAATTTAATTTTATTTTTCTACCATTGTAATTTTTTAGTATTTAAAATAATTAACATTTTTATATATTGCAGAATGAAAAATTAACCAAGCCACAGTTATCATCCATTCATTGTGATCTTAACATTCCAGTTCCAGAACCTCCATTACTTAATCATGATTCTGATGAAGTATGTTCCTAAACTTTTCTTTAATTTAAAAACATGTGCATCTGTGTTTTTATTTATTTTTTAAAATTCAATGCATTTTTAAGGGTGTAAAGTGTGTAACGTTCCAAAGATCAAATGCTCCTATCAACTTACATTACTAGTGAAATTCCTATTCCTTTCCTCCTATTTACATTCAGGATTTTGTTAACACCTGGTTAAAGAAACATATGCATGGTCTGTCACATGGGGGTTATCAAAGGCTGCCTCGTATTGCATCTTTTACATCACTTAGAATTAACAACAGATGGGTTAATAATAGCAATAATAGTTTACTTTTGTTAAAGGTATGTTGGCATCAACGTTTATGTAAAATCTGGGTGCTGTCACTTGTACTTCGCTGCTTATGGCCTTTTGCTAATACCAGCATTATGTAGCTAATGTTATAATCTGTGTTCTCCTTAAGCGTTTTTTGAAAGACTGCTTGCCCTTTGATCCCTATAAATGCACCCCTTGCCCTTTTTGTAAAAAATGAAAAATCCACTTCATTTAATAAAAAATCAACTTCTGATTTTTTTTTAGTTACTGATAATTATTTAACTTTTAATTATTAATTTTGATTCCTTCATTTTAGTAAGATTTTTCTTATGTAGTCTAGTTATATAGTTAAAATTTGCCTGCTAATATTCAGCCACAGAGATATTCACATCTTTTATTTGGAATGGGGGATATCAATGAAATTTTTAGTGATTTGAATTTTACTGTTATTTTTTTAAATCTTTTATTTAAAATTGCACCTTTTTAAATGTTTATTTTTTTATAATGTTCAGTTTAAAATATCAAAGTTGTTCATTAATCTTTTTTTTTAGCTTCCTTTAAATATTTTTCTAAGGCTTCAAATTTTCTGTTATTTTGATTGTAAGTATTATTTTGTGAAATATATATAATAGTATATGAGGTTAATTTAAAAAGTGAGGATCAAATTCAGTTATTACATAATACTTATTTTGATAAATTTTAACAGTGATGAATACCTTGCCCTTTTTTTAATCCTAGGGAGAACTGTTGTAATCGGGATTTTGTCATTGCCATCCATCATCATATTTACTTTATAAGTTATCTTTTTGATGTTTGTCATGTTCTTGAGCATTTGCGGAGTTTATCTTTAAATGCTTGTTTGAATCGTTGTATCTTAAGTCTTTATTTATATTCAGTGATGCCAGCCTCTGCCATTAACCATGTACTCCTTATACTCAGCAGTGTGTTATCCTATTCAAGCTACATTTTCATGCTTTTTGATAAACCATGGGACATGCCATTGAACCATTTTGTAGTAGGTGCGTCTCAAGTGAAATACGTGAAAACTTTTGTAAACTCATTAATTTTTTGTAAATATACTAACCATACTATTCAGTATTTTCATTCCCATTGAATTACATGTCTTAGTCGGAATGTGTACGTATTATATATGAATATATATGTATTTTTAAAAAAAATATTTTTTAATAATTAGTGGTTTGAACAAAACAAAATTCCTTATCTTGCTTTTTACTTAAGCAATGATTTTATATGAAAATTTAGAACAAGCTTAATAAAATTACTTTAATTTGTTTTTTAAATTTAATTTTTGTTAATTCGTTGCAGGTACCATCTAAGAAACGAAAATTTGGAATCATGAATGATGCCTCTGACATTCAAGGTAGTTTTTTTTTCTTTCTATAATTACTATATTTAATTTTGTTTAAAGAAAATATATTAAGTACTATATTTTTTTTTTTTCTTCTTCATCCTTTTAGTTCCATTAGCCCATTGAAGTATTTTTTCCTGCATTCTTCTAATTTGGGCTATAGTCTTATAATTACTGTCAAACAATCCTAAAGAAAGTTTTATGCACAATAATATAGTTAAGATCAAATTAGCGAGTGTGAAATTTTGGGTTCAATATTATAAATAAGATGATAATGAATACGTTAAAAGTAAAACCTTATGACTCTTTACTTCAAATCAAGATAGTTAGTTGAAACAACTTAGCAAAAGTACATTTATAAACTGTAAAGGTTTTTCAGTTCATTTTAATATGATTTAGACTTTACTCAAAGAATATTGGATAATTTTAGCATATTAGTTTCTTTAAAAAACGAAATGAAGGGAACTCTTTTTAATGTCCTTTACCAGAATTAAATGATTTACGTGTCAAAAAGAAATTTGTAAGAAGTTGGTAAACACAAAACAGCAGCCTGTTGAATAATTTTTAAAAATTTACTATTTCTGAGCGTATACCATGTTTTGTGTTTAAGATACAAACCTTTTGCATTTTGTTTAAATTAATTCTAATAAATTATTAAACACAATTGATAACCTTTTTAACTTTCATGTTAGATGATTTTTAACTCCTTTTTTATATTTTATTCAATTTTGCTATTCGCAAATGCAAAGCAATTTCCTTTTAATTTTTATTTTATCATACAATTACAGGGCCTGAGCTAAGGACTTCAAATTATTAGCCAAATATGTAAAGTATTAACCAAATTACAGAAGTTTTAGCCAAAGGCAAATCTTAGCAGTTTTCAATGATTTTTTTTTTCCTATTGAATAATATAATTTTACTATAAATTGTACTACTGTATAAAATGCAGATTCAAATCAGGAGACATTTTTTAGTTAAGGTGGAGTAAATGAACAATGTATAGGAAATAGGATGAAAAATTTAGATATTTTATCTTTGAAGAAAATAAGTAAGACTAGAGTAGAAATATAATGATAAATCTCAAGCAAAGTTTGATTTTTTTTTCTTTTTAAGTACATAATTTCTCTTGTTGCTTAGATTATCTGAACTTAATATAATTGTGATTAGTTATGTGACATATCTATTGGAAATAACTGTAATTGAACAGAAAATACAATATTTCTTTAGAGAAAGCTCATTTTGGCTTAATTTTCAGGATCAAGGGGAATCTATATTTTTCCTGTTGGTAGGAAAAATAGTTTGCCAATATTTTCTCCAAAATGCAATTTTTTTTTGCTGAATTTATAATTTTATTGCATTTGTCAAGATAGTGAATGCATAGCACTGAATTACATGATGGATTTCATTAGGATTTTTCTCCTGTAACTCTAGTTGAATTTCAGCCTTTTTCTTATTTTGATCCTAGCTTTACATAGGAAACTATTTAACTGTTCTCTTCCGTTTTAGGTACGAAAGTTCTCTTGCTTCCAAATGGCACTGTTCCTTCAAACAGTCATATAGTTGATGTGGTAGAATTGGTAAAGCCTCGAATCCAGCAACTAGTAGAAGATGCGAATGTAGTAAGTTTATTTTATAGTATATATGTACTTAAATATATTAAACAAGAATGCTTTCTTTTTTTTTTTCTTTTTTTCATAATGTAGATAATGCTAAAAATCATTCAAAAATGGCCACAGAATAGGAAAAGTCTGAAAAAATTTATCAATCTGGAGAGATCAAAGGATTGAATTAAAATATACCCAAGTCCGGAAAATCAATTTGAGGTTAGGGTGTCTAACATTGTCCCTAAAAATATTGATTTTGGATTTTGTAGTAATTTTTTTTTTAAAATTATGTGTTTTTAAAATTACTTATTAATACCAAGTATAAGTGTTTTATGATATATTTTGTTCATACGAATGAAATATACCTAAAGGATTAATAATGTAATTTATGCCATCTGTTATTTAAATTGGGGAAATTAAGTAGATCACTTGGAAAAAATCTTAAAAAAATTTCTGTGTTTGTGAGCCACTAAACAAGCATTCATTTTTTTTTTTTTTTTTTTTTTTTTTTTTTTTNTTTTTTTTTTTTTTTTTTTAAATTTTAGTTTGTAAATGAAACTTATAAGTTAAAATGTTAGAAATTTTGATTGCATAAAATTTTTTGGAACTTCAGCTGTCTGTAACCTATTATTAATTAATCAAATCTGTTTTCATTCTCTGCTGATTTTGTATTACATGTTGAGAAGTTGATGAGAACATTTTGGATTATATATACAGGGTGCGTAGCGTTTGTAAAAAGTACTTAAAGGTGCTTTTTTGGGGATTTTGTTTTTAAAAGCTTTTAAAAGTGCTTTTTTCAGCTGGCGTTTTTAAAAAGTGCTTTTTTTTCACGAATAAATTTTTTTTCCTTCAGTGATATCTGGTAGATCCCATGCATTTTACGAAAAATGGGGTGTTTGCTACGTAATTATTCACGCGGACTTCGTGTCGTACCCATGTTATGACTTGCGCATGCGCGCACACTTGAAACCGAAACCCGAGTGCTCCAATTCGGATANTCTGTTATTTAAATCGGGGGAAATTGATTAAATCACTCGGGAAAATTTTGGAAAAAAATTTCTGTATTTGTTAGCCACTGAACAGGCATTCGTTTTTTTTTATTTTAGTTTGTAAATGTAACTTATAAGTTAGAAATTTGATTACATAAAATTTTTAGGAACTTCAGCTGTCTGTAACCTATTATAAATTAATCAAATCTGTTTTCATTCTTTGCTGATTTTGCATTACATGTGGAGAAGTTGGTACCATAATATAATACATGTTTTGATGAGAACACTTTGGATTATATATATAATGCTGATTTTTAAGAAATGTTTTTATTGTCTTTAGCTGAAGATGTGGATACAGTTCTTAATTCCTAGAATAGAAGATGGTAACAACTTTGGTGTCTCTATACAGGTAAAATGAATTATTCTACCTGAGAGAATTCTATATAATTCTTTTATCCTTATTTATATCAAAATATTAGAATTATTTGTTATGTAAATTATTTTGTTTGATTTGAAGCTAGGTCTTTTAATTTGAAAAGGTAGAAGGAATAGACTTATTTAGGAATTTAAATTGTGCATTTTCAAAAAAGAAAAAATTAAACTTAATTTCTTTGAATGTTTTTTTCTCTTACTTTAAAGAAAGGGCTCTATATTTTTATAAATGATTTTTATTGATAAAATTTTCTTTTTGTGCTAAAAAATAGCACTTCATTAGCATATAATTTTGTGAAAATAGCCATTAAGAATGTTTTTTTCTTCCTTCCCTTTTACACTATTGATGATAGAAAATCATTTCATAACCCTTCAAATAAGGTGTTTGTAAGGTTAAGGTATCTGAAAAGTATTGTTTTATTTTAGAAACTTCAATTTTTTTCCCTTAAAATTTAAAGCTATGAATTATAAAGTTATATAATACACTTTCTTGATTTTGTATTTTTAAAATTTACTTTTGTCACATTTTAAACTGATGACATTTTTTTTTTTTTTTTTTTTTTTAAATTTCAATATTGTGACTAAATTTCTGAAAGAACTGTTTGTAGAATTCAAGGCTCATAGTTTTTCTACTTTTGCTTCCTACTTTTTTACTTTCTGCTATGTTATAACAACCAGATTTTTGTGCTCCTTTAAAACTTCTAGTTTACTTCAAAATAATAGTTTCGAATTTTGGTCCAAGATCTTTTTATTTTAACTTATGAAGTTTGTAAAAGTCACAAAATTCAATAGTTCAAACATGGGAGCAGTCTGCTAATTATATACATGGTTTGGGCACATAGTCATACCCGCGAGATTCATATTAAACTTTTTGGAATTTGTTTTCTGAAAAAAAAAAAAAAACTCTTATCTATAATATTACATTATCAAATTATTGTGTTAAATTTGGAGATCTTATTTATTTTCAGCAGATGTTGTATCATATCTTGTTGGAAAGAAATTTTGTAGTCACCATTTCTTTCATCTGATGTTAATGATAATCGAATCTAAATATTTTAAATCTTGTATGTGTAAAAAGGGGGACAAACAGTTTAAATATATATATATATATTATTTGACTTTAGTTCAAATGATACTCTTTAAAATGCATGGTAATGAGTTCAAGCATTGCAATGAGTTTGAAAATAATCTTAGTACGCAACATTTTGAGGAATTTTAGCTATTTTAAATTCATTACTTTGGGTGATTTTATTTATTTATTTATTTTTTTAATATTGCAGTGTAGTGAAAATAGCATATTAATAAGCTGGAGTATATTCTAAAGATTATCAAAATGTATTTATGTATTTTTGGAAGTTAAATTAGATCATTTATACTTATGACTAATATCACAGAAAATGTTTATTTTTATATCATTGTTTTTTGTAGTAGCAAAATGGCTAGAATAATAACCATATATGCTAGACTAGAACCCGTAGCTCCCCTACCTGTTAAAGTAGTACTGAAATAATTTAAGACAGGAAGTTTTAAAACCATTGCTGGCCATTTTTATTAAATCAAATATTTAATTGTAACTTATAATTTTTCCTTCCATTCTAAACAGTCTCCAACTTCTGATTTTGAGGGGAGAAGTTGGCAAGACTGCATTCCTGCTTCAAATTTGTTTGCTTTTTTTAACGTTTTAAAAAAAAATCCTCCAAACAAATTAAATGTAAGTGAGTCTCAAGGTGCTTACCGGCTTACCTGTTGAAAACTTTTTTTACTCTTAAATTGTGTGTTGGATAATGTCGAAATTTTTGAATTAGTATAAAATTGTTTGACAATGTTAAACATAATTCAATAATTCTGATTTATTTGTCTACTTTTAGCTAAAAGTCTTACAAGTATACATGTCTCAACAATTATTCATCAAAATAAATTTGTTACCAAAGTCTACCAAATTGATTTCACACATTTAAAAATGATTCTAATATTTTGAGAATTTTATTTTTAATTCTTTATATTCAAAACTGTTTGTAATACTCTTTTGTTGTCTTACACTTTTAATATTAAAAATTTATGTCTGTTAGGTTGTTCGGAAAGTAATTTCATATTTTCCCAACAGATATTGCTATATTTTTGTAACTGGTATAGCAAGAATTGCTGGGGAAAAAGTTCAATTGATTATATACAGTGGTGTTTGGGGGGTGTCCTTTCAAATATGGAAAGTGAAAAACTGCATCTTTTGCTATTGTAAAGGTAAAACTGCTGTTCAAGCAAGAAAAAATAATTAACCAATCTGTATGAAGAAGGTGTAGTGACACTATATAAAGACCAAAACTGGTTTGAAAAGTTTCAATCTGGAAATTTTAATATTGAAGCTGATGAAGAAACAATAAGGGCATTAATTGATCCAAATTGGCAAGTAATAAGGCTTGCGAATTTGCCAAGATATTCAATTTATCAAATTCGACTGTTTATGATAATTTGAAGCTTGGATTTAAATCACAAAGTTTGACATGGGTTCCTAATGTTCTCTTGCAGAAAGAAATTTGTTGTTGCATTGACAACTATAATTTGCTACTCAATTTTTTTTTATATATATATCTCTAGGGACGTAAAATATGTTATCTTCAACCATGTTAAATGCAAAAGAGTATTGAGTAAAAAAGATAAATTAGCTCAGAAATGACCTGCACCAGTTTTTTTCCAGCCAAGAACCAAAATTTTGAGTGAGAATTCTTGCTGCTGCAAGGAAGTTGGTATTGGGACCAAAATAGACGATCTATAATTCAATATAATATTTATTCACAATAAAGAAAAAGTCTTTAATTTTCATTTTAAAAAAAGACTGAATTACTTTCTGAACAACCGAATATAAGTATATGAATGTATTCTTTCTTGGGGGAGCCAAATGAAACCTGCTTAGATTACTTTGAACCTCAAAAGCATCTGGTTACTTAAACTACCATATATCTCGGTGTAAGTCAGCTTTTCACACCTCCAAAATTTTACTAAAATAAGGGGTCTACTTATAAAATCGATGATGAAGTCTGACATTCGATCACAGATCGTGAAATATCGAATGTTATGAATAACTATCAGTTACTCCTTTCAAAAATCTTTTTTTTTTTTAATGTTATATACATTTAAATTTGCATTTTCTTTCATATCTTTATACATGAGTTACATTCTTCAGTCCTGAGAGGAAATCAATGGACTTATATTTATTTCAAATTTGTTTTTTGTTTTCAAATTAATGATTTCCGAATTATTGCAAATTGATAAAGTAATGATGTCACACCACAATCATTTATTGTAATCTTTTATTATAAAAGAATGGGATTGACTGAACTTCAACTGAGTTAGTACTTCTTTTCCCAACATTTTAAAATGCTGGGCAAAGTTAAATTTATATGTATTTTTTAAAATTTTAGATCTAGGATAAAACAATGATGTTGAAGTTAAAAATAAGTTGATATAAATTACTCCAAGAAAAAGTTTGTGGTGTCAAAAGATATAAGAGATAAGCAGTAGTTTTTGTTTTGTTTACTGTTTTCAAAATGGTTAAATAGAAAAAAGAATTTTTTTTTTTTAAAATTAGTTATTGATTTAATATTAAGCCATTCTCCTGGAAAGTGAGCTATAGATTTCTGCTAAAAAACACTAGACAGTGTTTGTTAGTCAAAAAATAAGTTCAGTGATTGTTAGTCAAAAAATAAGTTCAGTGTTAAAAAAAATTTTGTGGCAGCCATGCTTACATAAAAAAAATGTTTTAACAAAACTTAAAATTGCTTTCAAATAATTTGTTCAAAAGCATTTCAAAAATTATAACACAATCAAACCTTCAACCCAACCAAAGAATTGGAATTTCCAGGCTTTTTAAAGGATTTTCATAATTGAGTTGGTTTTTTCAGCTATACGTCCAACAAACCAGAAATTTGCTTCCTACCTTTACTTCAGATTTTTTTTAATAGTCCTTATCGGATTTTTAATTGCACTTATGCAATTTTTTTAATGTATTCAATTCACAATGAAACTTTAAAAAAATTTTATAATGCATGTAATTTTTTTCTTGTATTGAAATTGAAAAGTAACTTTTTAACAAACTTTTCCATATGTTTTCTTGCTCTCACTTTCGTTATGAAAGTAGAATTGAAGTATTTATATAGAAATTGTTATTTTAGAAGTTATGGTAGTCCTACAATTATATTTTCAATTTTACTTTATCATTTTTAAAATTTCTCTAATCAGATAAATTTAATTGGAAAGAAATTTAGTTTGATCATTAACAGATAAAAATGCTTCGAGTTCAATTTTCAGAAAAACAAAATGTCCTAGATTGCCTATACTAGCTTCAGATGCTAACTCAACACAGTTGTTTGGGTAAGAGGGGAGAAAATCTTGGATCAATATCCCTACATTTATGCTGATATATTTGAATATGCATGCTTGGGGGCTTGCTAGTCAATCTACTTCTACACCCTAGGGTCAACGATCTAGAAAATTGTGATTTGCACAATAGGCCTTTGATGGGCTGACACACAACTGAATTTAGTTCATTTGAATTTGGCATACCGTAAAAAAACTGCTTTGACTTGTTGATAGTTCGTGGGACAGATTATTTTAATTCATGGCAGATGTGACAAAAGTTGGCATGTAGTGTAAATACATTTGATCTTTAAAAAAGTATTTGAAACAGCAAACTACCACAATTTATTGATTGTTATTTATAACATTTATATGAAAGCAGAAAAGTCTTTAAAGAAAGCTTCTATTTATAAACTTTACTAATTAATGAGTAGAAGACAAAATGACATTCATTTATTTCAATTTCATGTGAAAACATTATTGGTAATGTGTAATCAATAGTGATATATTTTGTAGTCTATTGATCTTGTATGTTAGAAATGTCTCAAACTATTCTACACACTTTCTCTTGTCCTAAATATGAGTGTAGGGAAATAATTTTTATACACAAATAAACATGTATTAAAATTTAAAAAAAATTCTAACTTTTTTCAATAAATTACAATTTAAAAGCAAATCTAATGGAATATTCTTATTCTTCCACTTATTTACAACATGCATGCATGACTACTATTTGTAAAACATCTTAATCAATTTTAAAATTTGTAAAAATTTTAATGGTCATATTTTTAATATATTTTGGAGAAAAATCTTCATTAATTGTAAACCAAATAAAAATTATTGCAGCTTTTAATAAATAATTTTGTGAGTAGTTGTAGTTATATTTTATAAATGTAAATAATTATCAGTAAAATGATCTTGAAAACATAACTTCATTTTGTACACTTGTAATAACTTTAAATTTCAGTTTGTTGGTCTTAATTATGCCTCATAAATGTGCTAGCCATTATACCTGTCATGAAATGGAATAATCTATCCGTAACAGCCTACATTAACATGTCTCATGTTTAGTTCTTCTCGTAGTGATAGGTCAATATTTATCTTTCTTATGCATTGTTAGATTTGTTCACTTAGTTTTAACTACTAAACCTATTTTTCTTCACATGTATTGTTCTTTCAATTCTCTTAAACCTAAAATAAGTTCATCTACCACATTCTGTTTTTTAGGGACTCTGATTTTAAATACATCATAGTCCCTATTAAGTAGAATGTCTTGTTACAGGAATGTCTTAACAACCAAATGTATGGACCAAAGAAGTGACTAAAAATCTGCACCCTTCTTCACTTTAAGGCACTGATTCACGAATATTGCTGCTTGGTCTACAGCAGCCTGGAAAACATGTATGACATTTATACATTAACCTTTACACAAAATATTTCAAAAAAAAAAAAAAAAGACTAAATATATCTAGCTGCTTCATTGTGTGGCTTTAAATTAGTTAATAAATTGCTGTTTCATTTCATTGAAAGGGTAGTTTATTATCAATCATAATCATTATATAGTTATGGTAAAAGAAGTTGCTGTAGCTCTTTTTTAGTTTATTAGTTTTTATTTTTAAAATTTTTTTTTTCCAAAGCATTTTTCACTATTTTGAGATTTATAAATTATCTAGTTTTAGTTGCAATTATATGCATTATGATTTGTTACAAATTCATATCTGGTGCTAAATAATCCATAATGCCGGAAGCAAGCTGCTTCGAAAAAGATCCATTTATTCTTCTGCATTAAAGCTATTGAACTGTCTATATATCAAGGCAATTGTGTTACTTGTGTGAAAAGTTTTTAATTTACTTTTTTATTTCCCCGTTCTTAAAGATTGCTGTGATCATTGATAGCAAGATTAGAGCAAAAGGGATTTTCATTGTATTTTCTTCGTTTTTTCCCCCTTCTACTTTGACTTTTCAAGTCAAACTTTACTGCATCATTTCTGTGTTTTAATTTTGACTTGTTACATTATCATACAGAAATAACAACTTTGCATAAAAGTCAAGCTCTCTGAAGAAAAACTGCAATAGCTCAAAACTTTTTCTTACAAGAAACTTAGAAAATTATATAATTTATAATATCAGCTCATTCATTAGTCCTGTTGATCTCTATTATCATTTTAAATGTCTTGTAAAACTCTTCAATATTAATTTAATCTTTTTCCTTTTAATACATTAAATTAGGAGGATACACTTGGGGAAGTTAGAACTGTTGAGAGTGAAGCTGCTGCATACTTTGACCAGATATCACGGTATTTCCTGACCAGAGGCAAAATAGTTTCTAAAGTTGCCAAATACCCTCATGTAGTAAGTAATGATAATTTGTATGGTTTTTATATTTAGGAATATAAATTAATGGTGGTCCTATGATCTTATGCCATATAGTCTGAATAGGACCACCATAAAATAACAATCTGTGATTCCTCCGACCAGCAACCAATCATGGTTAGGGCTGCAAGTTTGTTGCGGGGAAAAAGATCAGAAATTCGCGGAAAATTTTGAAAATTATGCAGATTCTAAACATAAAAAAATTTACTATATAAATGATGCAAAGGGTAGAAATTGCGCAAATAATAAAAAAAAACAACAGAAGTATTTCTTTTAATTTCAAGCAATATTAATATTTTTACTTAAATTAACAGAATTTTGGTACAAAGTACTGCACATTGTCAGATTATTCTCTTTATGCTTAGTCTTTTATCACTTAATACATTTTTATACTTAGAAAACTATCTTTTTGCGTCCATGCTGTTCTTAGGTGCTGACAAACATGGAATTGCCCTTTTTGCCTATTTTAGATAGCTTTCGGTCTTTGATTTCCAAAACTATCAATTTTCCTTCATCAATGCGCAATTCCTTGACCATTGCTTTGTAAGAAGTAATTGCTGTAAAAACTCAAACATTCTACATTCAAACTACTAGTTACAAAAGTCTTATCTCCCTCTCATCTAAGAAACTGATCGCTATTTAAGAAATCACAAGAAGCCGCCCAGGAAAAATTGTCTGGATACAGCACATATGTAGAAAGGCGGTAGAAATTTCATTGCCCAGTGCAATAGCCTGTATAACAATTTTTCTGTCAAATATTTGATTTATAACACTTTCCTTCTTTTGTGATTCCAATTGCATTTGTACTCTTACTGGCTTCAGGTAGGTAATCCTATCAGTCTATTACCCTCCCTAAGTGTAGAAACACCACCTTATTTGACAAGATTATGATTATCTCTTATCTATTTCTTTGTCATTTTGCTTTTGATTCACTCCTCTAAATATCTAATCGATTTTACATGTTCAATTTAAGGCTTCAGGAAAGTAAAAAATTCTGTTAAATAAATTAAAAATGGAAAAAAAATTCATATTTTAAGCAATTTTCGTACAAATCTAAACATATTGAGAAATTCGTGGATTTTAGGAGAAAATGTGATAATTTCGATGAAATTCGCTCCGCGACAGACCTGCAGCTCTAATCATGGTCAATAAGGTATAAAATGCTACTATTTTTTTTTCTCCCAATTTTGTAATTTTTTTTTTTCTATCTCAAATCTCTGGTCTGTATTTTTCCGTCATAATTTTAAATGTTACACATTGTAATTGTAATTTTATTTAATTTCGTTTTAATAACTTTTTTTTCTTTTATAATAGAACTTTCAGGTTTAAATTTATTGATTTTGTTTATTTAAAACAGAGGTTAAATAATGTTTTTGTCCCAAATTAAAAGTAACCAAATCATTAAAAAGCATTCATTTATCTGTCTAAGTTTATTACTTCAAAATTTCACTTAACATGCATTTAATATCTAGATGTTATTTTAGTAATGTGTAAAAAAAGAAAAGTTCCCTGTCAGGGTTTCCACGGTCCTTGAAAGTCCTTGAATTTTTTTTTGCTAAATTTAGGTCCTTGAAAGTGCTTGAAAAACGTCTTAGGTCCTTGAAAAACTTGATAGGTCCTTGAATTTGTCCAATGCTGCCGGCGGCCCTTTTTATAAAACACCCGCGGATCTTTCTTGTTCTTTCTGTTTTGTTCCCGAGCTCTCTCACGTGGTTTTTAACGCCACCGTTTCTAACCGGGCCTAGCGTCTTGGTGTCTGCCAAGCGCGTGGAGCACAGCAGACAATCAATGCGTTCGGGGCGAGACTCCACTTCATCTTCTGTCGCATATGCTTAGATCTTCTCTTTTCTTATCGAAACTGGAATAATCTCGAATTTCGTAACAATATGTACCTTGTAGTTNTATAAAAATTTTAATATTTCAGCATTATTTACTAAAATTTCCATTTCGCAGTATTATACAATCTGTACCTTTTTATTTTCTATATCAAGTAATTATTCGGATTGAAATTTCTTACTTTAATTATTTATTTATTGAATCCATTCAAATTTTAATAAATGTGCCATGAGATTAAGACTATGTATTTTAATTTAAAAATATTTAAAATTAACCAAATGATGAAAAGGAGTAAAGTTGGTAAATGGGCTTCATAAATACCAACACATTAAATAGTAAGGTATGTTTAGTTCTAACGGTTAGAAAAAGAATGACTTATTTTTTATTATTTATTTTAACATAATAGAGCTTAAAATATAACAATGTTTTTATTGACTTATTGCAACATTAAGGAGAATAAAAATATTTTTAATAGATTTTAAATAATTTTGTTTAAACAGTTGTTACAAAATGTTACAATAATAAATGTAAACTTGCTGCATATAAGCAATACAAATTTGTTAACCCATGAGAGTCCAATGATTTTAAAATTGGACGGAAAATAGAAAAACGCATTCCCATTTATGTATCTTTAAAAAGTATATAAAAATAAAGTTTGAGAAACATCAATTCTTTCAATAATTACATGATTTAATTACTTTATGAAACAAAAAGAACTTAAGAGTTAGTGATGGTTTATTTTAGATATTTTTATATAAGCCATGACAATTAAATCTGCAGTATGAAACTTTGAACCCTATTTAGTATATCAAAAACTAAAATAAGTGACAAATACCTGAACTCTTTTAAAAGTTTTTAGACTGTACATTTTAGAAAAACTTAGATCTATTGTATCTGTAAAGGTTTTTGTGCTTGCAAAATACTTTTTTTCTTACTGCTTTGGTTATGTGTGTTCTGCCTTTTTATTAACATGGCTGCATATTCTATTATTTCTCTGCTCTCCAGAATTGAATTCTGGTTTTAATTTTATGGTAACTTTATTAATTTGAAATAAAATCTTTTAGGACGACTTTCGAAGAACAGTGCAAGAACTTGACGAAAAGGAATTTCTTAGCATGCGCCTTATCATTTGTGAATTAAGAAATCATTACGTAAGGAACTTTAGTCTATATTTTCAATTCAATGCCTAACATTTCATTAATGTGATTTAATTGATCTCTTTTTACTCTAGTTTTATCAATGAAACATTCATAAAGATTACTTATAAAAGCCAAACTAGTTGCCCTCCTGAAATCATTCATATGTCTAGATTACAAAATTTAGCCGCAAGTCTTTATGCAGTAGAATGTATAAGCAACTGAATGTAGTCTAGGTGGGATGCAATATTTGTAAAATTAAAAATAAATGCATAGTATACATAGGAATACACTTTCTGGCCTGTGGTTTTTCTGCTAATACGCAGAATTCCATGAATCTCAAGACCGTTGATTCACAGAATTTCGTAGATTAATAATTTATGTTCCTACAAAATTATTTTGGAGTTTTGCCAATTTAATATTTTAAATTCATTACTTATGCAGAATCTCATTAACATGACATTTATACTGCCCATAAAAACACTTCAGGTTTGTAACAAGAATTATTTGACCAGTGTCAAATATTTGCCCCCTCCCCCTTTTTTTTCATTTCGGACACGCAAAATTCAATTAGTGTTATTGTTTTTGAAGCAACGACTCCACTGTTTTTCGATAGACTTTTTCACAGTTATTGCTATTTGATATCCACATGGTTTTTTAAATCCTGATATTTTCATACCATATTATTAAGAAATTTCAATTGCATGTTTAATTGTGTAATTACTTTTTGACACTCTAGATTTGTGTTAAATCCATGCAGCGTTTAGATGGTTGTTTTGGGGGGGGGGCAGTTATTGCTGTTGGTTTTCCCATATTTTTTTTAAAATTCCCATAATGACTATGATACAGAAAATTCAGATTTTGTGCTTGAATATTCATTATGTGATGTGATGGCCTGACGTCTCTATTAATTTCTGTTTATTTTTTAAATTCTTGATATTTTTAATAGTATATTAATTACAACACATGAATCTCGATACTGCATTTAATTAAAGTCTTTTTTTAATGCATTTGCTTTGTGAAAAAGAAAAATTTATGAAGAAAAGAATTACCACTTAAAAAGAAGCAAAACAAAAAAAAACTTTTCTGAAAACAAAAATTTCAGTTAATTTCTTCTAGCAATAACATATTTGTACTTAATACACAAGTTCAAGTAATACACATAAAGCTGTTTTCATTTATTTATTTATGTGTAAAATTATCTCAAAGATAATTTTTTTTCCGTATATTTAATATTAAAACACAATAAATAAAGTTATTGCTTAAGTTTGAACTTTCCTGAAATACACACAAGTTCTACAAATAATTGTTATTGAATAACGATTTTTTTACTAAAATAATATTCTTTAAAACAACTTCAATCTTTGTTTCAGGCATCTCTTCATGACTTGATTTTAAAAAATGTTGAAAAACTAGTGAAACCAAGGACTACAAACACAGATTATATGTACTGAAATCTAAAGGAGGTTGGAAGAAAGTTTATTTTGTCTCAAACAAATCTTTATAAGATTTTATTCTTGGAAAAATTTTATATGCTTCAAGCAGCTTGTTTTTATGAATGCAATCAAATTCATATTTGATTTTAACTTTGGAATTTCAACAGCATCTTTGCTGTGAAAACTGATGTTTGTTTGAGACTGAATATTTTTTTTATTTTAATAAATTATTTTTAATTTCTTGTTATTTGTTTTTTTCTTTCAAACTCCTGTTGGATTTCAAAAATAAGTTACGGTACTCAAAATACTGTTTAAGATTTAAAAAATAAAGTTTAAGGTTTATGAATTTTTGCTTAATTTATACCTATTCTTACAATTGAAAATAATAAATTTAAAAAAATTACTCTCAGCCGTTAACACAGATTTGTTTCGTTGATTCTAATAGTACTTATTGTGGTAATGTCAATGTGTGTGTCAGTCTACAAGAGTAAAAGAGAGAATCTTAAAGTTCTACATTAGGTTACTTATCGACAAAAAAAAAAACTCAATTTTTTGAATTAACTAAGAGATAGTTTTTTAGTGTTTTTACTGGATTTGATTATTTTTTTTGCAGGAAAAAGTTTTTTTTTTATTCATGGTAATTTTGTGAGTAAAAATTTTTGTTCTCACATTATTTCAGTTATAATTAGCATAAATGAGGTTACCCCCTCAAAACATTAAGATTGAGACCTAGAACTTGAAAATCTGTTTATCTTTATATGCACTTTACATGCAGTCTCAAACATCTATGTCGCTAACTTGACGGAAACCACTAAAAAAATTTTAAACTAAACTTTAATCAGAATCTCATCTCAATTCCTCTAAATATGCATGTCTAATGGATTATTTTCCCCTTACCATTGGTGCTAAACTATTACATCCTTTGCCACTTGAGATGCCTGAAGTGTTCCTCATTTAACAATCTGTGTCACGGAAGTGTTCAACATTACTCAAGTTACACAACCAACCACGAATACATTATTGTATTCTATGAAATGTAAAGAACGAAATATTTCATTGAAATTCTTGTTAAATTACTTTGAAATTACTAAAAGAACAGAACTTAGAATTTCTAAAATTTTGTAAAACTATTATTACAGTAAAACCTGTTTAAGTTTGACAACTTGTGGAAAAGCAGCTTTTAGTTCAATTATACTGGTGTTCAACTTTGAGGAGCAATCTAATTGTTTTTAACTAATTTAGTTCTCTTGTGGAATTCAACTGGTGATCAGCATACAAAAGTAGATAGCTTAACAGGTTTCACTGTGCTTATAAGATTTATTTATAGATTACCATACAATTATTTTTTTAATTCTTTGATATTGCTGGTTTCAGGCTACACTTCATGATATGATTACAAAGAATTTAGAAAAAATAAAGAAACCAAGGACTTCAAATGCAGATGCTATGTACTGAATGTCTTAAAATCTAATTGGAAGAAGTTTATTTTGTCTCAAACAAATGCTGGTGTTCAGCTTTTGATATTTTTTGGAAGAACTTTTATTTTCCTTCAAATAGCTTACTGCTTTATGAAGACAGTCTGCTTTAGTTGTACATAAAATTTTAAACTTTCAGTGGCTTTCTTAATTTGGCAGGCTGCTGTTTGTTTGAGACTAAATCTGTTTTGTTCCAATAAATTGGTTTTTTAAATATTCTGTATTTTTATTATCTGAGTAAAAATTTTATTCAACCATTTGTGAATTTTTTTCTTCCAATTAATGTAACCATCGTTTAGCAAAGTAGAAAACTAGCCTGCATCCTTCTTTACCTGGAATAATTAAATGGCTGTCTCTTTAACAGAGAACAAAAACACAGTAACTCGTTGATTCTTTAATATTTCTGTTCTCTATTCTGCCTACCAACACTGATGTTGCTGAAACTTGTGTCTTTACTATTAGAGTTCTGCACTACTGGATTTTCCCTGTTGAATCAGCAGCTCTAAATTTTGTATAGTTTCAAGGTTTTCATAGAATAGGGGAAAAAAGAATTAGTTTAAGATATCTATAAGTTCGATATTTTTTGTAAAAAATATATATATTTATTTCCACTTTTAATGCCAAGAGGTATTTAGTGATATATTTTATATGTAAGAATGAGGCATAGTAGTAATTTAAATCATGAAATTTTAATGCTGGTTACAAAAATCGGGGTATTTCAGTAGTCAGTTTTGAAAACTCAAAGACAGTGTTTGTGTCCACCATGATTAAAATAATGATTTTTTGCTTGAGTGCGTTAAAATTGTTTGATAAATGATGAAAATAGCCTTGTTAATAGTAATCACAACAATAATTATGAAGGAACTATGATATCGTTAAATATTTAAGATCCCCGTGGCAGAACGTTAGAGTTCTTGCAGAAAGATTTTTCTTTTGCTAAGTAAAATATTTTACTTTTCTTTTCTACAGAAATTTACACGTAATATTTGAATCATTTATTTAGATAATCACTTTTTGGCACTGTCAATTTACGCTGATAATATCGTAAATCGATGTAATCTTTCGATTGTATTTTCGGCAGTTACTGATATGATTTTCCCGTGGATTTTAAATATCCTAATACAGTAGAGCCCCGGTTATCCGGGTTTCCGCTTTAACCGAGCTATCAAATATTTTAAGGATTTTTTTGTTCTAGTTAATTTTTAATAATACCGCCGAAAAATAAATCTGAATTTTATCTTCCAAACACTCGGGGAAAACAAAATCTAACAACTTCGTGGTCCACGTTAACTCGGATAATCTGGACTCTACTGTATATTTCAAACAGTATGGAAAATTCGAATCGTGCATTTGAGTATTTATTTTAAGCAATAATACTATGGAATTTTTGGCAGTTATTGCTATTGTTTTCTCCATAGTTTTTAAATCCGATCTTATTTGTTACAATAACCTAATCTCGAAATGAAACGAGCATTTGTGAAGTCCGATTCGCGTGATTTCGTGGTGGATCTTCTTTTTCGGCAATTACTACAGATTTCGGGATTTTAATTTTTTTATTTATTGTGATGATAATTTGCGAAAAAAGAAATAATTAGTACGTTTTCTCCACCGACAAAATTCGTGAACATCACCCATAATATTAGAATAAAAAATTATTACACGATCAATTAAAAATAATTATAAAGTTTTTTTTTGTAAACACAGCGCTTTTGCTCTCTGAAGAAATTGGTAACTGTATATGTTTGTTATTATTATTGTATGTTGCAGAAAGATAGCTCGAAAGAATTCTGCCCCAGGGTTTAAGATCAGTTTCCCTTTTGTAAAGGTTTTTTTTTTTAATCACAAATAAAAATTGGCAGCATATGGAAGAAATATCCGTGATACGTTATATCTGTAAAGAACTGTTACGTAACAATTTTGGTCCTAATACAAAATAAAGGGGAAATTAATGCCTTAAATACATACAAAAAGCATTCATATTCATCGATCATGTAATAACAATCTAAAGTAATGCAACCAATTTCAAAACAAATAAACGTTTTTTGCAGCATTGCAATTCAAAACATTCTCTTAAAGAAATGGTTTTTAAGCTGCTTTCCACGGGAACTCAGGATATAACATAGAACTAGGAATTTTACGACGTGCAATTTTTTTTTTGAGGAGCTGTGATACATTAGGGAGTATTTCTGCTTCTTTCGATTCTTATTTAGAAAGTTTTTTCACTCTGTTCTTGTCACAAAGCTGTTCCAGTTGTTAACTATCCGTGCTACGGGTGATACCAAACAGAACTCTTTATCTATAGCAATATTTCGCACGCTTTCACCATTAGTGTTTGGCCAGTCGTAGGAGAAGGAAATACGCTAGTTTCTGTCTTAACTTTCAAATAGATTTTTTAAAAAAAAATTAAGTTAGGAAACTATGGATGGTGTTTTCAGTAGAAATGTAAACAATCTCGAGCTGTTTGCCTGCTCTAGTTCCGGTTAGAAAGTTTGCAGTTGCTTACTACATGTTATTCTGCGATGCGATATTTTCAAACGGATAATTTTGTTTTCAATAAAATAAATAAATTAGATAATTTCTGAGCTCAAATCTGCCGTATTTCATAAGATATTAATGTTATTATGCAATTCTGGTGAGTTAGAAGTAAAAATTTGTTTTAGTTACTTAGAGATATATCGTTAAAAAAGGGGACATGGTTGCTGGATTTTGAATAACTCGCTGTTTTGACAGTCTTGATATGGCCTCTTTCCATAAGTTTATTACTGTTTGTTCTTGCTGCAAGCTGTGCACCATCTTACGTTAGTGTTAACACTTTTAGCATTGTAAACACAAAGTATTGTAAGCATAAGTAATCAAATAATACATTGTTTGCAAGAATCTCAAAACACAATGATGCCAAATGGCTTTAAAATACAACGGAAACAGTAACCCGGAAATGTAGGCGGTACCGAACTTGCAGCGTTCCCTAGTGTATAAAACACCATACAAAACAAAATATAAACCTACTAACAAACAAATATAAAACAAAATATACACTACACCATATAAAACACCATACACACTCTTACAAAAATTTCGTGAAAATCTTAGAAAATGCCTTTGGCAATTAAGTACGGAAAAATGATATGTAATGAGAAAATACAGCAGTTCATTCCCATGGAATTAATGAGAAGGGAAGGGGGGGAACAAGACAAGAAGGAACAGATCTACTACGCACAAGCGTAAAAATTAAATGCAGTGAGAATTTTCTTTAAGCAAATTAAAATATGTTATAGAGCTGAATGCTAAGCCTTTTAAAAAAAAGTTTTATTTCGAAAACGGAAGTTGTCTGCTCCTCTTCCAGTTATTATCACTGTGATTGTAATCATATGTATCATAAAATTATTTGTGGCAATTCTGGTGTCAAAATAAAAAAAAATTATTATTTTTAAAATTATGTAGGTAATGTGGATATGTGTTTTCTGAAGTTTTAAATATTGTTTTTCTCTCCTTGCCTGTAACTATGGCCAATAAATTAGGATTATCAAATGTAAAGAAGGAGCTTAAGCTGGGCAAAAGTTTTGGAAAGGGAGAGAATTTCCATACTTTCAGATGTAAGTTGATTGGCTTAATTTAGCTATAAATTGCAGCAATTTTTTTAATAATTAGTTTTTTTTATATAAATATGGATAATAAATACTTTTGCTGGTCTCCCCATCGTTGAAACCTATTTATAGTTCAAACGCATTCAAAATATTTACAGTTCTTTTACACTACGAAATGTTTATTTTGATTTTGTATATTCAGATGTTTACATATTTTCTCGATTGGTTAAGTGCTGGTTTTTGCCTATAATTTTTGTTATTATCAGGTAAATGTTCATTAATTGAATAAATTAATTATGAAAAATGATTGATATTTGATTATGATTGTTTACGTGTGAGAGCATTTTACATTTAATTTAGTCACCATTCTCACATTAATTTTGTTTATTTTTATTAAAAGTTCATGTGCAAACATATGTAGTCTGAATATATTGGGTATGATCAATATTTCACATTTGTTACTCATTATTTCAAGATATGTAGTATTTTAAACTTTACTTTTCTCACTTATCCAAACCCTATTCAGACATTCCTGTGCTTTTAAGTTTGAGTAAAAGGGAAGATTTCCATATCATGTTCTGCGTCAGAATAATCACCAGGTCTTCGCAGCAACTGGGCTTGACCTACAAGTAACAAAAGAAAAAAAATTCACACAAAAAGAAACCAACTCAAAGGGTATAACTCGTAGCCACCCTCAAGCAGGGGATATTTCTGTATCGTGATCTGTCGCGCCAACTACAATCGTCAAGGTGCCAAATAGATTTTAAACTTGCAAATTTTAAAAAAAAACGTGGATGTTGGCCCTGTGGCTGGTTACGAGTTATATCTTTCGAGTTGGTCCCTTTCTGTGATATTTTTTTTTAGTTTCTCTCGGGTCGATGCCCGAAAGTTTCCAAGCCTTGGCAATTATTCTGCCACAGATCAGGATACGGAAATCTTCTCCTCAAGCAATCGTCTACATGTTTTTTTGTTTAAAAAAAAAAAATCTATTTGCAAGTTTATAATCCATTTTGCCCCTTGGTGATTGTAGTTGTCTCAACAGATCACTATATGGAAATATCCTCAATTGAGATTGATTTCAAAGCTGTTTGAATGTAATATTGATTTTTTTTTCATTTTTTAAAAAAACTATTAGGTAACAGCGAATTCACGATTACTCAAATCTGATAGGACTGACGAAAACCTTTGACCTATCGGAAGTTCGACTTACCGTTGGTTTTGGACTTTCAAAATATTGTCTGATTATTTCATTAATGCTTATTAATTACAAATCTTCTAAATGCTTACAATATTTAAGATCAATTTTCTGACAAGCCTTTTACGATAAGACTGTTTGAAGCACTTTATGATACCCTGGTCCATCAGCTGCAACTTTGCTGTTGTGTTTGGCGGGAGAAACTGCAAGCTTACTGCTTTTAAATTAGGTAGATCACTATGCACTGTGCATTTATCCATAAAGAGTACCACTTTTCTTTTTTTAGCGAAGAATTTTTTCTTACATAGTCTTCAAATAAAACTGATGTCATCCAAAACTTTGTGTTAGACTTGTAATCCAACAGATACGTTTTTACATTCTTGAAACATCGGGGATTTCGGTATTTTCTGATAACAAGTAAGTGCAATTTCTCTGTCCCAGATGCATTTCTTCCAACTAGGACAGTCAAACGTTCCTTGCTCATTTTACCCCCTGAGCAGTTTTCATCCTTAAACATCATAGTCTTATTTGGAAGACATTTAAAAAATAAACCCATTTCATCAATATTGAAAACATCATTTTAACTGTATCCTTGAAGTAAATTTGGTAATGTTCCATTTAACCACTGTTCACATACTTCAAGAGGGACAGCTATAGCTTCTCCATGAAGAGTGCGAAAGACATTGTGTGTGCAAAGGAAGGGAAAAGATATCAGCTCCTATTTATTTTTCTTGCTTTAAAAGATCCAAAAAAAATCCAGTTAAAGGGAGTAAAATTCGAGTAATCAAGAATAATTAACATGAAATTAAATATAAAAGGGTCGGGACCTCGAAGTACGATAACTCGAATTCGAGTGATCGTACTTCGAGTTATAGCGAATTGACTGTAGTATGATTTTTATTATTATTAAATACAGTAGAGTCCCGATTATCCGAGTTAATGTGAACCACGACTAACTCGGATAACTGAAAAACTCAGTTAAAACGAAGAGTATAAAAAAAGAAAGAAAAAGAGTTGGTATAAATGTAATATATTTAAGAAATATAAAATTTATACGAGTATACCACATACAATTCCTATTATTATTAAAAAGCTTACTTGAAAAAACTTAAAAAGTCTATTTTGCGAGAATTAAAGAGTTTTTATTTGAAAAAAGTCCTTAATCGTTTTTTGTTTTACATAAGTTTGGTGCTTTTCTGTAGCAATGTTTCGTCATTTTTTAGGGATAACAGGAAGGCTGGTGTTGCCTCTTTTTTTTTTTGTTCTATGCATTCAGTAGCATTTTCGACAGCTTTAAGTTCATCTGTGTGAGAGATTTTTATATGTGGATTTTCATTGTCACTGTCTTCATCATCTTCGCTAGGTTCATTTTCATTATTGACGATATTAATGATCATTTCATGGGATCAAGTTGTTAAATTTTGTTTTCCCGAATATTTGGAAGATAAAATTCAGATTTATTTTTCGGCGGTATTTTTAAAAATAAAAAATAAACTAGAACAAAAAAAAAACTTAAAATATTTGATAACTCGGTTAAAGCGGAAACTCGGATAACCAGGGCTCGGATTATCGGGACTCTACTGTAGTTGCTTATTTATCCAGAGTTTCATTTTTTGAAAATGTGTATTAAGATTTATTTACTATCAATTCATGGGCTTACAAAATCCCTTAAAGACAACCTTTACAAAATTATTCAACATAAAAACTTTTAAGTTGACTTCGGAGCTGATACATAAAGTAAGTATAAAGAAGTCAAAAAGTCGTGTCAAGATGAAGAGAGAATTAATTTTACCTTAAAAATTTAAATCATCTCTATTAAAAAGAGTAGACTATGAAGACTAATTTTAATTTTCTTCCCCTTAATTCTAATTTCCTTTATTCTATTCTCATTAAACAAATTATGAAATTTTTTATGTCATATTAAATCCACACTTTATATATGAAATAATGTTGAAATCACATTTTGTGATTGTTTTCATATTGTTTTAGTTAAGTCTAATTATGTTTTGAAAGTTATTCTGATTTTGTAAATTTATAGTAATAAGTTACTATTCCTTTGTTTTAGTGCAGATACAATTCACAACATTTTATTTTGTTGTTTTGAATGATATACCTGTTATAAAACAGTATAATTTGGGGATATTTACATATATATACCTGTTTACACCTTCCACCATAACCAAGGTGTTTTAAGTTCTTGTTCTTGCAAAAAGTTTTAAAAGTGATTTACCTAAGGGGTAAGCCAATTGACAGTAATCCCTTTGACACTTTTGTGATTTTTTGTTGTTGTTGTTTATCATGACCTACTGCCCTATTGTTCCCAAAATGCAGCATATAAATACTACTACGGGAATCTTCCCAAATATTTCTACCAAAAATGAATTATTGTTTAGTAATTTACTGTGTAAAATTAAAAATAATTAAATTAGTAAAATTAACATTTGTCTCGTGTTTTGTTTTAACTGAATGGAAAAGTTTGGTATTAAAATCAGTTACAGATTTTAATTTGTATATTTAAATTAACACTGTTAACTACTGCACACATTAAAATTAAATTGTGCTCTAAAAAAATTGCGTAAATTTAGTTTGTTTTGAAGCAAGTTGAACATAAATTGCAAGAGCCCATAATTACCGAACATTTAAAAATTAAATATATAGAATGCAATGTTGTAGTTAAATCTTATTATCTGTATTTCCAAAATTAGAAAAATAAATTAAGAATTCATCTTTTAAAATAAAATAAAAACACTTCGATTTCTATGAGTCATAATCAGCTGGTTTATTCTGTGGTTCAGTGTCTAAGAACAAAAAGCATCGTAGCCTCACAATCCTTAATCAGCGATGCTGATATTAATTTTTTAGGACATTTCATTAGTTATGGTGCTGGTCAGCCATTTGTTTGAAAATTCGACAAACATGAAAAAAAAAAGCTGTTTAAATATGATTTTAACTATAACACAGTGGCTGTGATGTTGCTGCATCACACTTGCATCAAGATTTCGACAGCTTGACTGTGATAATGCAGTTTCATAGTTTTACGTCTGAAAAGTAAACTTCCTTGTTCAAGTCGACTTAGTTTTTTCCTTTTTATTTATTTAAACTTAATTTTATATTTTATAACCAGGGGTCTGCCCAAGCCAAATTTGCTACCGTTTAGCGGTACCTTCACAAATTAAATTTAGGAAAAACAGTAGTTTCACAAAATACTTTTTCTTAAAATTTTATTTTTGTGTCTCGTAAAAAACGATAAATCCATATTTTTGTGTTGATTTTTTTTTAAGTATAATTTTTAATTTTCACAAATTATGTCTAAATTTTCACAAAATAGGTAGGGTGACCCGGGGGTAATTCACGATCACTCTGTTTCAGGGGTAAATAATGATCACCTAAGTTTTATTCAAAAAAAATTTTTTTTTTTTTTTAAATTTGAGACATGGACAAGAATGTTTGTACACTTTAGTAAAGTATAACTACATTTACTTAATAATAGTTTTCTGTTTAATCTAGCAAAATAAGTATTTTTAAAACTGCTTTCAGTATTTTCCACTTCAAAGATGGGTTTCAAAACGGGCACATTTCTGCAAAGATCCCCCTCTTTCTCTGAATAATAAATATTTTGAGATACTTTCTTTTTCATTGATATTAAAATAGTGTAAGCTTTTGTTTAATTGTTTCACATCTACTGTAAACATTATAATTGATTATAGGAAACTATATCAAATGTTGCCTCCTACAGATGGGATAATTATTGATCACTGGGGTATTTCCTGATCATTGTCACTTCTTCTTATAAATAGTATAAAAAATAGCTAAT